TCCTCCTAGGTACTAGCTTTTAGCAGAGTATTAATTTCTTTATATGCTGCGTCTCTAAATTACTATCCTATTTAGTAGTTATAGAGATCCTTCTATTATTTTAGCTCTTTTTATAGAGCGTCCTAGTGCGTATTCCTTTTAGGGTTTTTAGGAGATTTACTCCCTATTACTGCTGCAATTACAGCGTAGATTATAGTATTTAGTTTAGGATATACTAAAAGATTGTGCAAGGGATTTCTAATTAGATCTATATCTAATAGATCTATTACTATATATATCCCTACACTTATAGAGCCTCCTAGTAGTTTATTAGGGTCCTGTCCCTAAGCTTGCTTACTAACACGCGTTAGTAGTAGTCCTTTAACTTGCAGTTTTCTGCTTCTTCTAGGAGCTCTAGGTGCTGCTTATAAGGGATCTATAGGAGATATAGAATCTAGTCCTAAAGCAGGTAGGTAGGAGCTCTACTTACCACCCCTATAAGAGCTAGATAGGGTGCCCTTACCTATCTCTATGCTCTTATAGAGTAACCCACTAATAGCACTCTCCCCTCTAGGTCTTTCCTAGGAGCTACCTATCGTGGTGTTAAAGTAAGTTAGATTACTACTATCTTAGGTAGTAAGATCCTAATCTATAACCTATATAGATCCTTTATCTCCTATACTAAAGTTTAGTTCTAGTGTTAGTTTAGGAGTTTAGAGCCCTATTAGCTTAGGGGACTTTATATAGATCCTTTGTGCTAAGCTAGCTATGCTTAGTACCTACGCTAGAGGTGTCTGCTTAGGGGGTTATAAATTACTAGGCTAGCTAGCCTAATTATCTACCTTCTCTAGCTCTACCCTACCCCCTAGCTCCTACGCTAGGTTTAGTCCTCCTTGCTTACTAGACTCCTTATATTGCTCTGCCGCAATACAAAGCTAATTAAAGATATTAAGCTCTTTATATACTTCTCCTGTATTATAGATCTTATCTTTACTAATAATATTAACTATCTTTTAAGCCTCTAACTATTAAAGCTACTCTAGATCTTTCTCTTTATAGAAAAGATCCTTATTAAAGGTAACGTTCTACGTTGTAATAATTTAATTAAGTAAGGGGATCTATATCCTATATATATTAGATGCTCTATATCCTACTAGATATCTAATATAACCCTAAGGGTTTACCTTAAAAACCCTCTTGTAATGCCTAGCTGCTTAATCTCTATTAAGGGGGTAAGCTTAATAGCTATAGGCGTATATTCCGCTCTAATTAGGGCAGAGATTAGTAGTTACCTCCCTTATCTGCTCTAGTTGTCACTACCTAAAGTATCTAGTAAACTAACAATCTAGCACTTTATTAGGTAATATTATATTATAAGTATAGGATAGGCTTATATTATAGAGCTAAGTCACTGCTTTAATAATTTTAGGCTAGAGCTTTGTTAGTAGGTTAGCACTAATCCTTATTTTAATTAATTTTGTTATAATCTCCTGCCCTACTCTTTCTACTCCTCTATTAGGTTTATAGGTATATATAGGTAAGCTCTTAATTTTAATACTATTATTAGCTACCTAGATCTAAAAGTAAGATTTGCCACGCTAAAGGAGTGTTGCAATGTTATTATCTTGCATAATCTTAACTATGCTAAGCTTATATTAGTTAAGTATTAAGCTCTTAAAATTTTTAAACACCTATATAATCTTATTAAGGTTTTTAGCTTATAGTAGATAGGTATAAAGCTTTCCTAAGTAGTTGCACTTTAATACTAAGATCTATTACTTGTAAGCTATACCTGTTAGTATATTAAATAGATCCTATAATACCTAGTAGTATAGATATAGTAATCTTTCCCTTAGTTATCTTAATATAACCTGTTAGGCATGTGTAATAGCGCAGTGCTTGCATTTGCTCCTAGGAGTTCCTTTAATTCTAATATTTATTGCTAACTTAACTAGAGCTTTAAGCGCCTTAGGTCCTAAATAGCCTAATTATTAGTGCTAAAGCTCCTTACTATTATATCTTAGGTAAGTTATCTAGGATTGTTAGGGTTATTTAGGCACTATACTTTAGATTATTTAATAAGGGGTAGAGGGCTTATATTCTAGGAAAGTTAAGTTAAACTTGCGCAGTAACTTAGCTAATACAACGCTCTTTTCTAATAATCTAAACTGCAAGGTAGTATCTAGCCTAAGGAACTAAACTCCTGCTTTAAGCAATTAAGCTTCTAATATAATATTTATATAAAAACCTTCTACTAACACTATGTTAGTAAGCACTAAATCTTCTATTTTTAGACCTCTTAGTCTATTAAGAGTATTAGGGATTACTCTAGTCCCTCTACCTAAGATTAGAAAAGCTTAAGTTCCTACTTTAACTATCTTATATTTAACTAATCTAAACAAGCTTTCTTCTAGGTAGCTTATATTATTAACTAGGTGCACTACACCCCTGTTATTAAAGATAGTGCTCTTTAATAGAGCGTAAGCTTTAAAGTCTATAGTTAAATAGATCCTATTTATTTTCTCTGCTATTAATATAGGGTTAATTAGTGCCGCCTAGATACTGCCTAGATAGGTAATCGCGTTTTCTTTTACCTTACTACTATAATCTTAATTAATAGGATAGGACTTAATTAGAGTTTTTCTTAACTCTTTAAATTTTAGATTCCTATTAATCTTTTTCTTAATCTCTAATTATTAAGTAGTAGTAAGCTTGTTACCTGTATTAATCTAAGCTTTAATAATATTTTTGTATTTAGAAGGTTTCTATAGGTAAGATCTACTATATAGATATAAAGACTCCTTCTTAGGTTAGTTAGAAGGTAGAGCTCCTATTATTATAAACACTCTAGGACCCTTAGAGCTTAATCTTATATTATTCTCTTAGAGTAGTAATAAATAGATCTTAGTAACCTATAGGAGGTTATAAGTTAGCTCTCCTATTACTAACTTTTTAATAATCCTTTAAAATATAGTTTAACCCTAATCTAGTAAGATCCTAGTAGATAGAGCTTTAAGATAATCCTGTACTATAAGCTATCCTTTAATATTAGGAATATTATATACCTTAGCTTGCGTATATAGGATTATCTACTCCTTCTACTAGTAATTAGTATCTTAGCTACTTATTCTTACCTTAGCAAGATAAGCTTTATACTACAATCTTGCTAGTGTTACAGCGCTTAAGTTAGTTAGCGCTAGGTTATTATAGAGCACTTAAATAAGTGCTTAGAGGGTTACTCTTCCTTAATTAACAAGCTCTATATAGGCTAGGGTAAGGATCCCTTAATCTACTATATTATTAACCTATATAAAGAGGTTCTAGATTGCTAATAACTTTAATACCTAATCTAATAAGCAGGCTTAGTACTAAGCTATTTAGAGCTTATACTGCTCGCTTATTATATTAGATAGCGCGATATCTATTAGTATATTAGGCTTAATAGGTTTATTTTTAAAGTAGTTTTTAGTATCTAGAGCCTTAGGGTCTACCTCTACCTAGATCCCTTTAGTTAGGGTATAGTATCTAAATTAAATATACTATATAGGCTAGTTAGTTAATCTAGTAAGTAGGATATCCCCCTTTAGGATTTAGTTACTTATAGTAAAAGAGTAATAAGTAAGCTTTTGCTTAAGAAATAGTATAAAGAGTAAAGCTTTCTATCTTAGTATCTAAGTTAAATAATACGCTTAAATAGATAGGGCAATCTTTAATAAGGTAAAGCGCAAACTAGGCTTATAACTATAGAAATTTAGATTACTAAGGTTAGGAATAATTTAGGAGATAGATTATTAGATTATATCTACTACGATTGTACTTATATATATAGAGCTTTAGCTACCCTTACTAGAAGGTGAATAATTAGTAAACCTTCCTTACTAGAGCTCCTACTTTTTATTAGGCACTTAGCAGTAAGCTAGCAGTTAATTAGATAGTAGGTTATACAGGGGTATTGATCGGGATTGATTAGGATTAATCAGGATCAAGATGCTCCGTGATCTAGTTAATATCCCTCCTACAATAGTAACTCTACAATAATATTAAAATATCTTTAATAAGTAAAAAGTAAATCCTTATACCTTGTATTATTATACTAGCTAAGATAGTTAAGAAAGAGCCTATAAAATAATATAGTAGTAGAGGTAATATTATAGTATAGGTGTCTAATTAGACCCCTTAAAAAGCTACTTATATAATTTAAACTATCTAATCTACTCTAATAAATCTAATAATTATAACTTTAAAAAATCTTATAATAATAGCTATTATAGGTAGCGCAATATCGTTATTTAGTAGGTGGTGAATTTTAGTGTTAGTAACTTAGTACTAAGTGGGCGCTTAGTAGGGGTGGGCGCTCGGTGGTGGATCACGTTACTGCCCCCCAATCATTCTGCCTCCTTACCGCTAATCTAATCACAAGACTATCTATATACATCACATAGCTAACCTTCCACATGTCTCTCACTTTCATTTTCACTTTCACTGCTTCACTACTACATGGCCGTGACGCTACTTTACGACGAATTCTGTCTGTCTCTATCTGTATCTTGAGGAGCTGAGCTGAAGCCTTGCATTCGAACGCATTCAGCATATTGCGGGCCCGAGCTCCTTACACACAGTAGACGCATGTGGGCTTGTGTTACATGACCGGATGTCCTCTCCGCTTTACTGCACTCTTAGCATGCAGATCCCAGCTGTCAATCAGACTCCAATGGAAAAGAAATCGATGCAATTATCACGCTTCGCTCCTTCTACGAGCCGGATCTGCTTCGCATCAACGTTCCATATCTTTTGTAGCTACCGCATCCGTCGACCTTGCTCAGGTTTCACTATCCATCTGACAAACGTTAATCAATGACCAACTCAATATATCGAATGCAACTCGAACAATGGGAACCCTCACCGAATCGGGTACAATAGGCCATTGTGCCAACTAGGGTGAGATCTGCATGTCAAGGTATAGAAGGGCACATGGTTGCCTGCATAGACTCTACCAACACTGTCTTGGACACATCTTCAACATGCAATTCGTTACCACTGCTGTTGCTTCTCTGCTCTTCCTGGGCACCGCCGCTCTGCCGTACACTCCACACCCCACGTTCTGCGGCATCCGTGGCTATGACTATCTGAATAAGCCATACGACGTCCAGCAGGATTCGAGGATCCGAACGTTGGATGAATGCAGATTCCAATGTCTGCTGACATCGCGTTGCATCAGTTATGCAGTGGGTAAAGGAGCCTGTGTCCTCTATGACTACGACACGTTGGAGACCTTTGTGCCGTACGAGGGAAGCAAGTACCTTTTCTACGACAGGTCTTGCGACCCAGAGTCATATCCCACTGAACCATCATACCCATACCCTTCTTCTGATCCGACTCACTACCCATACCCCGTTCCTGATCCCCACCCGACCCCAGACCCCAACCCAACTCCAGATCCCTATCCAACCCCCAGCCCCAATCCAAACCCAAATCCCCCCTCAGCACCAGGTACCTGTTCATCCAACGGCCTCCCCTCTCTCTTCACCTGCGGCAGCGACCTCGAAGTATACGGCCACATACAAATCCTCGACTCCAACACAGACGTGGAACTCGGCTACATCAACCTCGACATCTGGCCATACAACATTTTCCAAAAGAGTCCGCTGGACAGGGCCTTGGTCGTCAAAGCAACCTACACCGCACCAGACTGCAGCAACCCCAACGGTGTTGCTCTCGAGCTCATGAATGTAGAGGGCTCTAATATTCAACCTGGATATCTTGGGACGGCTGGTAGCTTTCAGCTCTCGGATCTTCTGGGGTTATACGGGTATGTTTTTTTTTCATTCCTTGGAATGCTGCCTTGTTTTCAGATTACTAATTCTTTTGCTCTACATCTAGTTATTCATCTACGACAGTAGTCACCCTTGGTACGTTCAACAGCCACCTCCATCCCCCTCCCCTCAATGATCAAAAATAATTCATAAAATCCCATCTAACCCAAACCCCCAAGTCCCCCCCAACGTCCTCGGCCTAGACGGCCTCTCCGCAGACAACAATTTCCCCATCCAAGCCTCAGTCGTAAGCTCCTCCCCCCCATCCTCCCCCCATGATATCAATCTAACCCCCCCACCAGTGGACCCTCGACCTCACCTGTGGCTACCTCACCTCCACCCTCATCAACCCAGACAATTGTACGTATCCCCCTTCCCTTCCCTACATTCTTCCCAACCCCGCTAACCCACCCCCCCTAATCCAGCCCCCCTCCCCGTCACACAAATCCTTGACTACGCAGACTGCCAGAACGGCTGCTTGTACCAGACACGCAATGAAGCGGCGTTTTTGGCGGATCATCCGCGTAGAGAGGATGTCGTGGTTGTGAGGTTTCGGTTTGTGCCGTTTACGTGAGGGGCAGGGATGTTGTTGTTAATGGGGGTTTTTGGTGGTGGTGGTGTGGTTGTAATGGCAGGAGTGATAGAAGCGGTTATATTGGTAGTAGATGGAAGTACATTGAAATTTGTGATTGAACATCATGTCCACATGTGAATATGCGCATTCTGTATCCCCTCGTCTCCCTCTCTCTTACAATCACACACACACACATATATATATATATATATATATATATATATATTCAAACGTCCATACAGTAGAAAAGAACACAGCAAAGTCAACAAGAACAAAACTCAACAATGCGAAAGAAAAAAAAATACTAAATAAAATAATAGGTCTAAAACCCTAAAGTGCGTGCGCGCATATATATAAAAGGGGGAAGAGAGAAAGAGAGAGAGAGAGAGAGAGAGAGAGAAAGCAAGAAAGGCGAGGGGAAAAGAAAAAAAGTTTCAAGCCCCTCCCATCTCTCCCCAAAAAACCATCTCTCTTTGTAAAGAAAAGAAGAAAAAAGGAAAAGAAGAGGAAGAAAAAAAAAGGATTTCCCTGCCCGCAAATCACGCCCGGCCCTCCCACGGCCGCCAAAACTTCCACCCCTCCCTAACCTCACTCAACCCCTTGCGCCTCGAACTAGCCACCCCAACAAGCCGTTCAATCCCGACATTCCCCTCAGCCTTTAGAAACTTTTCCTGGTCGATTTCCTCGCCGCCCTCCTCCTCGTTCCCATTGTGCAAGACGGCAGGCCACAAGACGCCGACACCATCGCCAGCCAGTGTAGTTTCAAACTTTTCAAACCCCTCGTTTTCGAGCTTGAGCTCGAGCGAGTCGAGAATCTTGTACTTGAGCTTGGTGCCGTTGGAGATGATGGAGGCGTTGCAGTCGGCGTCGGCTTCGGACGAGGCGTCCGAGTCGTCCGAGGAGAGGTCGTGGGTGCCGTTGGCGAGGGCGGGGGGCTGGGGCTTGAGGATGGTGATGGCGCAGCCGCCTCCGCCGGCGCCTGTGAGTTTGGTCCAGCCGATGCCGGTGTGGTCGATGAGTTCGCGGATGCGTTCGAGCTTGGGGTGGGAGACGCCCAGGGAGACGAGGAGGCCGTGGTTGATGGTGACGAGTTCGCCGAGGAACTTGAGTGAGGCGTGGGAAGTGGGGTCGAAGTCGGGAGAGGTGAGTAGCTTGTGTGCGGACTCGGTGACGAGGCCGATGGCGTTGAGGATGTTCTCCGTCAGAGCTGGGTGGATCTGTCGGAGGTGGGCGACTTTTGCGACTTCGGTGGCTGTGCTGCGCGATTGCCGTGTGTTTACGAGGAGGAGGGGGAGTTCGGGGAAGCTGTGTATTGGCACGACGAGGGGTGGCTTGCCTTCTCTCCGCTGGAACAGCAATGCCTTGCCGCCCGAGGAGACTGTGTTGTCCACGCCTGATGGATTTCCGTGTATGCACATCTCACCGACAAATGACCAGCGGTTGATGCGCTCGATGTTAAGTTCACACTCTTGTGGCGGCTGGTCCTGGTGGGGCCCGCTGAGTGCGCGTATTTGCAGGAGCAGCGCTGTGCTCAGACAGACGGAGATACTGGCGCTGCTACCCAGGCCCGCGCCAATCGGGATGGTGGATCGCAGTGTGTAGACGCACGGCGGGACTTTGCGCGACGCGAGCGAGAGGAAGAGGTATAGGAAGGAACAGGCCGAGGCGTGGTGGATCTTGCGTATCGACTCGGGGGCCTTTGGCGATACTTGGTCGATAAAGGGCTGTATGGCAGCCATGAAGTCGGGGTCTAGCGAGGTGACGGAATCGTAGTAGTACTTCTTCTTGCCCGGCATGGTGAAGGTATCCCATGGCAGCTCGTCGATATTCCATGTGTGTTCCATCTGGATGTCTGGGAAGCGCAACTGGACGGTTCGGTTGGACTTGGAGAGGAAGGAGACGTGGAGGTAGGAGCGCAGAGAGATGGCGGCGGCGATGGCGGCCTGTATACAGCGTGTTAGCAGCAATAGACTACGGCCGCGTCATGCTTGCCAGCGCCGAGCGTACCTTTCCATGGACGACGGCGTGCTCGCCGTAGACTATGACTTTGCCTGGCGCAGAGACCATGAAGGGTGGCATCATAGGCGACGACTGCTTCCTGTGCATCGCGGGCAGGCCATTTCGTGCAGGCAGTGTGGCCGAGGGCATCTTGACGGCCAATTGGGCGGGCAAAGGGTCGATGGGGGAGGATTCGGGCGTCTGTGTGCTATGCGACGAGGTCGACGAGGACGGGTGAAGGCTGGCTATCCGACTGTTAGCCACAGGCGTGTGGGACAAAAGCGAGAGCGCATCGCCTCACGTGGGCCGTCGACAGTCTTTCTGCGCATGCTGCCGTTTGCCGCCATGGGTAGCAGGCAAGAGTAGTACAATCTAAGCCACACAGGACGATCTTGGTGGAGAGGGGAGGAGGATTGGGAGTGGTTGAATGATGGTTGGTGGGTGATTGCGCCGCGTTGTTGTCGTCAGGAGGCGTAGCGATTGCGCGAGTTCCAATGTTGTAGTTGGCCGAGTTTAGGGGCGCGAGGTGATAGAGTCTGGTAGGAAGAAGAAGAAGGAGAGGAGGAGGAGGAGGAGGAGGAGGAGTTACAGTACATGGACTTACTTACCCATCTACCTAGAAGCCAAACTACCCAACTATGTAATAATAGCCTAACTTGACTGCCCCCAGTGCCAAGATGAAAGAGCGTAGTAGTCTACCCAGTCGTCTTCACCCTGGAACGTCTGTTCCCCATGCAAGGAACAAAGGAACGCTCTCTCGGCAAACAAAGTGGACAATCCCTGTTTCTAGAATTCCAGTGCCCGGCCCAGTCTCCTGTCAGCTCTGCCCTACCGGATCTCCACCCTCTCGCGCCCCCCCATTGACATTCACACAAAATCAGTCTTGTGAACCGTGAACTGATGATGCATCCAACAACAACAACAACAACAACAACAACAACAACAACAACAACAACACCAGCAATGTCCCCAGCTCCAGTTACGCCCCATAGTCACTGGCGGGATGCGGGGTTCCCCCACCTTTCTTTCCTCCCTTTTCTTCCCTCTCTTTCGGAGACAATACTATCCAATCTCTTACCCACACATCATGCCCTTTTTTTATTCACCGATTCGTCCATGCAGCCCCCCCTGCCTGCGCCCACCCCTCCCATCCTGCTGAATCAACCTGCAAATACCAACGTCAGCTTACGGTACCGGTACATATACCAACTTCAAACTTGGGATAGGCCATTGATGTGCAAGTACGGTGGTAGAGTATGCAGTGGCAGTATCACCTACTCTGGACTACGGTAATACTCCTACTTACAGTCGACTTTGTTCACTGCGCCCCGCTTGGGTGGCGCCGATGCAAAGCCACAACCGCTACGTAGGCATGTGGCACATCATCACCTTATTCACAGACACTACTCTACAATCATCGTTCCTAAGCCGAACGAGCATGCATGCACCGGTAGTGGCCACCGCTAGCAATTCAATGTACAATACGTCGTGCAAAACAGGTGCCCTCCTCCATCATCACCACCAATCACCACCCATGTTGTTCCCAGACGCCTCGCTATGCATGTTTTCACCCATCTCGACCACCCCTAGGATGGTGTTTTGATCATGAAAATCTAAGACCATTGTCAGTGTCGATGCAGCCATCAACATCAATCCACAACATACCTCTTTCATGGCCTGTGCATCCATCGTGGCAGCCTTCTTTTGACGAATCCACCGTTGTCTGACTGCGTGCATGCCTCGTGGCGTATATACTAGACCGGCAGTCGATGTCGCCGGTGTCGAAGTGCCAGTCGCGGGAACCGATGATGAGCATGCTGTACTCTCTTCCTCGCTCTCCGAGCTCGAGTCATCAGATTCGTCCTTTGCCTTCTTCGCAGCCTTGGCCGCCTTCTTAGCCGCCTTCTTCAGCCTCTTTTCCTCCTTGCGAGCCTTCTTCTCCGCTTTCCGTCTTGCCTTGTCCGTCAGGGCTTCGGGGTCCGATGCTGCCGATCGCAGGTCCTCTGGTTCCGACCAAGACTTCTTTGCCTTCTTACTTTTCTCCTTTCTCGATTTCCTGTCCTTCTTCGACGCGGCTGTGCTATCCTCAGCCTCATCCATCACGTCTTCCCGCAGATCCATATTTTTCTTCTTGCGCTTCAACGTTGGCTCCTCGGTGCGGACCTCTACTGCTTCGACTTCTAGCCGCTTCCTCTTCTTGTCTTTCTTCTCCTTTTTGATCGTGCTGTTATCGTCGCTCTCGGGCTCCGTCTTGACCTCGACCTCGACTTCAGGCTCCTCCTTGAATTCCGTCTTGCTCACAATCTTGTCACCCACGAGAAGTCCACCACTGACAAAGTTCATCATGCCGTACTTGCGATAGACAAATGCTCGCTTCTCAATCTCGTCCCGCCTCTCCTCTTCCTTCTTGACTGCTGCTTCGTTGCCATTGAGCCTGCCTAGAATACTTTCCAAGCCTGCAAGACCAAAGTTCTCCGCACGCTCACTACCACGCTTCGCACCCAAACCAAGATTATCGTCTTTCAGGAGGACTCGAATGTGTGAAGCGGAGGCGACCGTGTAGTGAGCGGAATGGGAGGCATCTTTAGCACCGAGATGATCGCCTTGCTTCCAGCCTTGCTTGGCCAATATGCGGTGACCGAAGCGCGAGGTATTGTTCGCCCAGGTGTTGTTGTTGGGATCATTGGAGATTTTCGAGCGACTGCGCAGCGATTAGCCATGGGATTTGTATTGGTGGCTCGTAAACCGTATGTGCATACTTCTTCGGCGCTGCAAGACCCATCTTGACGACTGGAATTTCTCTTCTCCTAATGTTGCTCGCTGAAGTGAAAAGCGGAAGCGGAAGTCCGCCGACCGCGTCCAAAAATTTGTGGATGCGACGCTAGCACGAACTCTTGGCATCATGTGGGGAAGGCGCCTTCCGTCTCGCCTCGCCTCTCCATCATCACAACACCATAAGGTTGATAGTCTCAAAGTCTCGTCACACCATCTTCACGCCATGTGCTGCTTGCTTTGTGGCGTTTCAACAAGCTGATGAAATCCATCACACCCACATCATTGTCACATTAACCTACAGCACTTACCACGATACCACAGTCATGGCACCGCCACAGGTAACCAAGAAATCCAGCCTCACTACCATGACACAAGCCACTTCCCGCCAAGGAAAGAAGCAGACTCGGAAACAGGTCGTCGAAGAAGAGACTGAAGAGCTTGAAGACTTGGCCGAGACTAGCAGTGTGGACAGTGACCGCGACGCTGAAGATCCCGAGGGATCACAAGATGCCGGCAGCCAGCCCTTGCAACACTTGATTGGTACTATCGTCGGCGATGTATGTATCACTCAAGCACCGGCCGCCTCGAGTTCTTTACACGCTAGATCACTCGTGTCATAATAGAAACACTCTGACCTCCATATAAAAATGCTGATGCCCGCTCAGCAACGCAGACGCTTTGACGCCCGCAAAAGTGCCATAGGCAGTAGCTATAACGCCAGTCGCAAAGAAGTGGAAGGTTCAATCAATGCCCTTTTCGACAAACACGAAGAGCAGGCGTGAGTACCTCCACCAACTTACACAATATAGCTTCACAGCCCAACCCTTCTCGGCCATTCTGGCACAACCTACGTCATCCCGATGTGACTCCATGCCCAATAGCGTACGCAATGACAGCAAGACTAAAACCAAAACTCCAGATCATCCGCCCACGAAGCCCAACTAAATCGCCTACAAGATCTTCTAGCCCAAAAAGCCAACATCGAAGCAGCCATGTCCAAGAAACTCTCCAGCCTACGTGCAGACTACGACGCCCACTCCCAAGACCTCGAGGCCGTTCTCCACCGTAGAATCAAAGATCTGGCATCATGAAGAAGAAGAACAAATACCTCAATCGGCCCAACACAACTCCCCACACTTGCACACAAAAACGCACATCAACATGACTGCATAAAACATACCTTTGTTTTATATAGTACCCACTCTATCCCCCCCTCCTCACTCCTTGCCGAACTCGGCCACCACCCCCGTACAGACTTTTGATAGACCTTTTTTTTTGTTTTGCACATGTTGTATTCGACCGCGCAGATCGCGAGATATGGCCGTGTGGACGGCGTTGCGGGGATCGAGCCAGAGAACCCGCCCGATCCGCATGCGAATTGCGCCGTTGGGTCCGAAACTTTAACGAGGGCAGGGCGGTCTGCATCAGCCAAATTGGCCGGCGTGGAGTAGCTTGAGCGCAGAGGGAAATGTATGTGAGGGGGGGGGGGCGTAGGAAATTCTGCGGGGTTGTGTGGGAGAAAGCGATGGGAGATTTTAATACTTGATACTCTTCTTCTTCTTCTTCTTCTTCTTTTCTTGCCTTGTTGCGCGTGTTTTACCTTTTATGCATATATACCATGTCATGCACGAGTAGATAGACAAGTAGTAAGCACACGAATGTGAAAAATATCAAAGCACAATGCAAAACATTCATTCAGGTATCATAAACGTTGTTAAAATGCGCCATCGTCATCGCCATCAATATTAACATCACGACTTCAAAATCCCAACACGCCCACCACCCATCCAACCCAAATCCCTTCCCCTCCCGAAAAAAAAGGACATCTCCCACCTCACCCTCACAACCCACAACCCCCCAACGCGCTAAAACCCTCAATCCAACCTGACCTCAGTAATAAAGTCCTCGCTCAAATCCCAACTGTTTCCCCCCTCAACGCCGATACACAGGCAAAACTTCACTAACCCTATTACTCCTCTGCGCCTGCGTGGCATCCGTCGCACCACCACCACCACTCGCCTCACCAACATCCTCCTCCCCCTCCCCATCCTCCAGCACCGGAGCCGAAGGCGGCAAATGAAGACCCTGCACACCATTGACAAGCGGCGGAGGAGGCCCCAGACCAGACGCTTGCAAACCTCCATGTCCATCTACATCCTCGTCGTGCTCGGTTGGCGGGGCGCTGCGTTCCAATTCGAGGCGACGGCGTTGGAGTTCGAATTTATCGTCTGTGGGGTGGACGTGTGGAGATGCATTAGAGGAATAATAGTCCGGGGATGGGTCGTGCGAGGAGCGGGCGGATTGAGGGGACGGTGTGTTGGTGTGGGTGAGAGGTGGGGCGAAGAGGGCTGGTTGGCGGGGGGTTGGGGTTTGTGATGAGCTGGGGGTTTGTAGGGAATGTTGTGATGATGAAGTTGCGACATTTGTGACGCCTGATCTGCTGGGTTGGGGTGGCAGAGGTGTGTATGAGGGTATGGAAGGGCTGGAGGTTGTGCGGAAGGGTGGGAGTAAATGTATAGATGTTGACGCAGATGATGCGGCGGCTGAGTAAGGTGGATTTGCATCTTCGTCTTCTGGGATGATGGGGGCAGAGGCTGGTATACCTTGTGGTACAAACTGCGATGCTGCTGCTGATGGCCCGGCCCCTGGAGGTTGTGATGGCAGCAGACGTGCTTCAGCACGCCGCAGTTGTTCCTTTTCAGACAAGCCAGTCTCTTCTGCTGTTAAGCCTGGCGGCACATGGAACGCTCCATTGGACACTCCACCATGTTGGTCGTAGCCGGGAACCTCATAGTCTGCTGGATCGTAATTGTAGTCATAGTACTGTCCGTTCTCATGGTAGTGGCCATTCTCGTCGTAACCGTAGTACTCATCTTCGTAATCGTGCGCCGCGTTGACGTCATGACCATTGTTCAATTGAAACTCATGGATCCCGTTCTGGGCTTCTCCGCCCGACTGATCCGTCTGCTTTCGCTTCCCACTACGCTCGCTGTCTTTTGTGCCGATGATGACCTCGAAAAGAGCAGACACAACTCCTTTTTCTCGCCGTATCTGGTCAGTGTCGACGAAATTGCCACCCCAAGTTGAGAACATGTTGCTCGCATTATCGTCTCGCGAACCAGAATTGCCCCCAGAGGTCGATGGTACGTTGACGAGGCCTGCATTAGCCACCATACGATCGAGCCCGGTCAATTTGCCTTGTATGTCCACAACTACTTCGACGTAGTACTTGAACGATATCATAGCGCCTGGGACATTGGAAATCGTTGGAAAGGCCTCATCAGGTACACGGACGCTACACTTCACCTCTGCTGTAAGAGTTCTTGGATCCACGAAGAGCGGCGCAAACGATTGGCACAAATCCTTCCGAAAGACATGGCTCGATCCGGCTGACGAAAGAGAGAGGCCTCCCAGGCCAGTCCTAGATTTCGGGTAGTACTCTTCTGACTTGGTCTTGTCGCCTTTGCTATTGGGCGCAACAGGTAAGGCAGGATGCATGTCGACACGTGCTTGCCTGTAGAGCGTGATGATGATTCCTTTTAGGCTTCGAACATGTTTCGTGTGCTTCACCGTGACTCTGATGGGTATTTGATCGCCGCGAAGGAATCCGCCCTTCAGTACGTCGATGGTGGCGGTGATCGTTTTTCCCTGTATTGCTGCTCGGCTGCCAGCTTGTTGGGTCCCCCCATCTGTGGTGGTGTGCACAGACCTGATACCATATTCTGTCCCTGATGCACCACCGCTGCTCATCTGACTCTCATAACTAACGTCACTAGGCGATGGACTCCGCGGGCCTTCATTCTTATCAATCTTATCAACTGTACTGTTGGAGCCTGATATGGGTCGAATCTGAGGAATGTCCGGCCCGGTTGGGGTCCTGGGTTTCCCACCATCTAGTGTTGTCGCTGCCGACGAGGCACCACCTGGTCGCTTGCGTGAGGGCTTGGCTCGTGTGCGCCTCGAAATCGGCTCCAAAGAAATGACTCGTGGTTTTGGAATCTGCACTGGAGCTATATCGATCGTGTCCGTAAGCGAGACCTTTGCATCGCATGAGGTCGTCGGGGACATGGTAGTGGGGCGTGTCAAGGTCGCGGTTAGCATGTATGCTACCGTGCCCCGCTCAAACTGCATAGTCATGTAAGCGGCAATGTTAGGGCCCAACGTGATCGATATCGACTTACATCAATGCTACTCGGCAGTCCTTTCGAAGGAAATTCAAGCTCAAAATTGAAGTGATACACACCTTCAGAGAGGCGGCCCTCGCCACAGAGGACTACCTCATCTTCGAAAAGTGAAACGAAGCCATTGCCAAAATAGCTTCCTGCCTTTTTCCCTTTGCCAGATCCAACCGTGGTGCTATAAGCTTTGTATGCGTCTCCTGGTGCATTAGGGTTCTTGAACACCTGCGCATAGCCGTGCAAAGATACCACGAGATGCGTTATCCTCAGCGGCTTTACGATTTTGATTATGACCGTTCCGCTGATTATATCCCCCGGTGCATACTGGCGATGCGGATCATCGGACTGGATATAGAACTCGGTGTAGTTGCGCGACTTGGACGACAAGGGCGACTTGAGTCTCGATAAGAAGGATCTAGCCGACGTGGAAGCGGACGGAGTAACGGATGCACGCGCCGGGCTGGAAGTCATGCTCTTTGTGTCGCACACATTATGCGGCTATCCGCGCTCGATGGAAAGTCGCAATGGGCCCAAAATGGCCAGCAGGCGTCTAGCTAACAAGGCTGCACACCGTGGCAATGCTGTATTAAGGCGTGGCGCCTCTGTTGCTCAACAGCTCGGGCCGCTGGCTTACTGTGGTAGGTGCAGATGTACGAGACCGCGCAAATGTCGGGATACAACGGCAGATCTTAGTAATCCAGATCGACTGGGCGACAATCGATGGGCGCAATCCGACAGCTCGGGGCTGTGGGCTATGGAATGTGGTCGAGTGGGTGAATCTGGGTCTGGCAGTGCGTACGTGCGTTGGCCGTCTGGCGCTTGTCGAGGGATGCGGTCCACCACGACACGAAGCAGGACAGGCTGAGGTCGGCAGGAAGTCGTGGAAGAAGCAAACGACAAGGGAAAACGGAAACTAGATGGCGCAAAGCCAACGGTCAGCATCTCGCAGCGCACTGTGCCGAGTCGTGGCAATTGGAGAGCGCTCGCGGGTCAGCGCGCGGGTCCCATGCGGGGAGCGACGGTTGATGAAGGTGGCAGTGCTCTCTAGCGGGAAAGCAACGACGGACGATCCCAGGCCGCCCAACACCATCGAACACCATCGCCGTGAGATAGCGATACCTATCGCCCAGACGCGGTCGCAACGCCAACAGCCTAGAGGGCGGCAGAGGAGTGGAGTGGGCGATCATCTACGTACCACTTTGCGTCGGCAGAAGACAGGCAAAAGGCTTGTTCGAGAGCCGCACCGATCTTGGCTGCCAAGTCGAAAACAGGAACACGGGGCCTGCGCGGAGAATAGTCACAAAAGTCGGGTTGGGTCGTGAGACGGCCTGTGAATACCATACGGAGGAAAAGCAGCGGTTGGTCTCGTATTCGTGGGGCCGATGGGTTTTGTAGATCCTAGGTAGCCGCCGTTGCTTCAACACGGTTGGGACGAGACAGGCACACCAGTCCTAGGCAGGAGTCCGGATAGCAGCCGGTTTGAACTGTCGCGAGAAGGCTATCCGAGCGAGGCACCGTACTTCACCCCACATGCAGACTGGGATCAGGGCCTAGCATACATGCAATACGATTTGGCGAACCTCTTCTCGGGAAAACAGATCAGTACCAGTAGGAAGGCATGGATAGCCAGGCTTCTGTGGACATGCTGTAGGAGTCGGTAAGCTGTTCTGATGCCAAAGTATCTTTGGCCAGGGTTTGGGCAGCATTTCCCTTCCCAGGCACTGCATTAGCTTCATTACGTTGCATCCGCCTAAGACTGCTGACTAGCATTCTTAATAGCTGAAGGCCATATTTTGCTCCATATAGCAAGTAATGCGTTGACAATGCGGATCGTGGACACCGACAACCCCAACAAGACGCAAGACGCAAGTTGAACTGATATCTGGCACAACCCATGTGATGGGTATGCATTGCTTTGTCCTTTTCCATCCAGCAGTACATGGGACGCCTAGCAATCTCGATTCTGGAAAGCTATTCGTACTGCGGGTCGCACTAGCAGCGCTTGTGTGACATGGCGCCGGACCGCTGCTAAGCTTTAGTGCCAAGTCAGTCATGAATGCTTGTCCATGGCGGTTGATGCGACACAACATATTGGACACGCAGGGGCATACCCAAGACAGGCCGCCTATGAGTCGAATGCTGCGCAAAAATCATAGAGGGGTGGAGAAATGGATTGCGGAACGACTACCCTTGGAGCCCCCTACTACTTTCTTTCAATTATCCTGGCCCAGCTGCCGTGTCGACAGCCTGATCACCATCCATCCGAGCAAGGAGTGCCGCAATGCTGCCCGAGTCATACTCCATGAAATCTTCCTCCGCGCCAGTGTTGGCTGTTACCACTAATGGCCGTTCTGGGTCTGATGTTTCCTGTTCAATAACGAGATTTATGGCGTCCAAAAGCTCCGTCAAGTCGCATGGGGTATCGATGGTGTACTTGAGACGGGCTTGTTCGACAAGGTCCCGCAGTCGCCTTCCCGATATACCTTTTGCTCGTTGCGCCATGACGCGCAACCGTGATGTCACGGTATGTTTGTAACCAACCCAATGTGTTGCTGCCCATGCCGCGTCTGGGATGTTGGGCGGCATGGTCAGAAGACAATAAGTGGCACCCCTATTTTCCTGGCTGCAATCAGACGATTTCAGACTGTTTGTCATTGTCATACTTTCAGCAGGAGCATGGCCATCCGCTTCATCATATACCATTCTCGTGAACGTCATGCGTCCAGTCCGCAGTAGAGCATTTAATTCATCACGGAGTATCTCGAAGATGCTGTTCACCCCTGGAATGTCGACATACTCGCGCAGAAAGATGCGATCAAGGAATGCCGAATCAATGTTACCTATGAAATTGGTGGTGCAGATGAACATGACGTTGGCGCAGTTTCGAATAGCATCCAGGCCCCGGAGCATCTGAACCGCCGCCTGTGAAGCATGGTCAATAGTATTACGCAAATTCTCCATTCAGACTCACACGGTGGGCATCCGCCACCTCATTCGACTTCAGAGCCTGTTCACGGCAGCCTGCAATCGACTCAACCTCATCAAAAAGAACAACGAGGAAGCGAGACTTATCCGTGACGGCCATTTCTACAATGGTCTTGAACAATTTTCCGACCGACTTGCTGCTCTCGCCGAAGAACTTGCTCAGCAAAGCGTCGGATGCGACTTCCAGAAGCTCTGTACGTGGATATAGTTCAGAGAGCCGGATGGAGAGTCGTTGTGCCAAGGCCTGAGCAAGACTCGTCTTTCCTGAGCCAGGAGGGCCGTGGAATAGGATTGTATTGTTGCAACTCGCCATGAAACGCTGGGCCAGTGCGTGCTGTTCTTTGATCGAACGGACGAGTGCGCGGAGTATGATCTCGCCCACAGGCTCTTCGTAGACGAGCGACGACCATAGCCGGCCAAGTCTTTCATGTGGCAGTGAGCTAATCGTAAAGTATCTGGATTCTGTATCGTCCTCTTCCTCTGAGTCCCAGTCGTGAAGCGCAGGGTCTCTTTCCGAGGCGAGAGCATACACTAGAATCTCCATCTCATTCGCGGCGACAAGGTAAAATTGGTCATCTGGGAACAACCTGCTCCTGCTCTGGCCTGTGATTTGTACCTCTGCAATAACCGAAGAGAGCGGGGTATCTGCGCCGCGTGAGTCTCTTGGTAAAAGCGATAACATGCAAAGATGGATGGACTAGAGTAGTCACTAGGGACGATTCATGGAAGAGACCCACCCAGCGCCACTGTGCCGATCCGAATTTCAGTGTAGTGTCGCCGGAGGTACTTTTCGACCTCTTCTTTGATCTGCATAGCTTTTGGAACGCCATGGTCTCGATGGGCAAGCCTCACTTCAACATAGAGCAGGCCGTCTGGTCGTGCTGATGGTGGCGGCGACGAGACTTTGGTCATGATTGATTTCGACTGAATTCAATCGGGCAGGCAGGCCAGGATTGAGACTGCCATGTAGGTATGTGAGAGAGAGGCGTGCAATATTGTGGATTGTCGTTGTTTTGCAGGTGAACTTGGACTGAGGCTTGGAGGCGCTTGATGTTTTACTGTACATGCCATGGAATAGTAGAATAGAGTATTGAAGCTTCAAGCTTGATCGACGGGAAGCGACATTGGACGAGCAAGGAAGGAAGGTGAGGCGGGCGCTGGGCGCTTCCGAGGCTGTTGCCTGGTCCGAGCTCGCCGCCCGCCAGCCGCCAACACCCGACTAACACGCCAAACGATGTCATCGCCCACGGGCTTCACGGGCCTCTGACACGGGCATCATCACCGCCTTTTTGCCCGCTTGAGTATTGCATCTTGGGTCTTGAGTCTTTTAGTCTTGAGTCTTGAGTCTTGAATCTTGAGCCTGCAGCCTTTGCATGTGCCCTGTTGGATATACAACATCTAGCCCTACCCATCACGAGACCTTACCATTACATGGCCGCTCGATAGAAAAGTTTGCTGGACATTGGACATGATAGAGGAGAGCAGGAACAACACTTGCGGAAGCGCCAACGACGACATCTGGGGCACTGTGCGGCCGCGCGATGTTCGTCTCCAGATCTACCTCTCGCTCGCCCTGGGCCTAGGCGGCTTTCTGGCCTTCTGTGTAAGCTTTCTATTTTTATTTTCACCTTCATTTGCATGACCATCTTCATTTTGCTGGCGGGCCGTTGTATGACCGAAAAGGGTTGCGTTGCTAAGTAGACTCTCCAGTTTCTACGCCCACGATGGAAGGGCCTGTACGCTGCACGCAAGAAGCAGAACGAGCTGGCAACCGCGCTGCCCGACCTCCCCGACTCTTTCTTCGGCTGGATACGCCCGTTATGGAACATCACAGAGGATCAGGTGCTCGCCTCGGCTGGCCTGGATGCCTACGTATATCTGGCCTTCTTCAAAATGGCCATCAAGTTCCTCGTCGTCACGCTCTTCTTCGCTGTCGCAGTCATCAAGCCTGTTCATGACACGCACCAAGACAAAGAGGGCAAGGACAAGCCCTTGTCTGGTCTTGATCCACACGATCACATCGAGGCTCGTTCCACGCTCACGACCATGGCAGCAGACTACGAGAAGTATACCGACTACCTCTGGATGTACCTCGTTTTCGTCTATCTCTTCACCGGGCTGATCCTCTACCTGATGGTCTCAGAGACCAGGAAAATCATCGATGTCAGACAAAGGTATCTGGGCAGTCAGACCACCATCACAGACAGGACCATAAGGTTATCTGGCATTCCCCAGGATCTCCGAGAGGAGGACAAGATCAAAGAATTCATCGAGGACTTGCAAATCGGGAAAGTCGAGAGCGTTACGCTCTGCAAGAACTGGAAAGAACTAGACGACCGGATGGCACAGAGATATGTGCTCTTGAGAAAACTCGAAGAAGCTTGGACCGTTCACTTGGGAAGCAAAAGGGTTGAGCGAAGCCTGGAAACACTGCCTGTCGTCCAACCGCGCCCGTCCGATCATGAAGACGATAGCGAATCAAGTCATCTCTTGAGCACAGGATTGGACTCTGACCATGTCATCTCCAATGTACGGCCACGTCCAATGGCGAAGATCTGGTACGGTCGCTTCAAGCTTCGGTATAAGAGCGTTGATGCAATCGACTACTATGAAGAGAAGCTGCGCCGACTGGATGATGAGATCAAAAGTCTTCGCAACACAAACTTTGAGCCAACACCGTTAGCCTTTGTGACCATGGACAGCGTGGCGAGCGCGCAAATGGCAATACAAGCAGTGCTGGATCCTTCCCCACTTCAGCTGTTGGCAAAGAACTGTCCTGCCCCATCCGATGTCGTCTGGACCAATACCTATCTTCCTCGTCGTCAAAGGATCGTCCGGTCCTGGACAATCACCGTTGTCATTGGGATTCTGAGCATCTTTTGGACAGTTCTCCTTGTCCCGATCGCTGGTGCACTCAACACCTGCTCTATCCAGAAGATCTTTCCGCAATTGGCTGCCCTTTTGGATAGACACGACTTGCTCAAATCCCTGGTCAACACGCAGCTACCGACCTTGGCACTGACTTTGATCAACGTCTTGGTGCCTTTTCTTTATGACTGTAGGTCTCCTCAACTCTATCTGTTTCGTTACTCTAAACTAAATCTCCGCCTAGGGCTGGCCAACAAGCAGGGCATGATATCACAGGGAGATGTCGAACTCTCTGTAATATCTAAGAACTTCTTTTTTACCTTCTTCAACTTTTTCATCCTTTTTACCATTCTTGGAACCGCTTCTAATCTCGTACAATTCCTCGACCACTTCGGTAAGAGGCTAAACAGCGCAACGGACTTTGCATATTTCCTGGCAAAATCTCTAGCGGATCTCCTGGGGTTCTACACGAACTACATCATCTTGCAGGGATTCGGCTTGTTTCCGTTCCGACTGTTGGAATTCGGCGCCTTGTCACTGTACCCGATCTACTTGATTGGGGCCAAAACACCTCGAGGTGAGCATCTTAAATCACTTGAGCGAAGTTGGATGCTAACGCTTTAGACTACGCTGAACTTGTTCAACCTCCAGTCTTTAGTTATGGCTTTTTCTTGCCACAAACAATTCTAATCTTCATCATCTGCATGGTATACAGCGTGCTCCAGGACTCCTGGCAGGTCCTTCTTGTAGGGCTTGCCTACTTCATGATAGGCCACTTTGTCCACAAATACCAGCTGCTTTATGCCATGGAACACCGTCAACACTCTACTGGTCGGGGTTGGACTATGATGTGCGACCGAGTCATTGTCGGTGTCGCGCTATTCCAAGTCACTGTGGCAGGGCAGCTCGCCCTCAAAAAGGCATTTAAGCGCGCAGCACTCGTAGCACCTCTAGTGTTTTGTACTTTGTGGTTCTTTTTTGTTTTTGGAAGGACGTATCGGCCATTGATGAAGTTTATTGCACTGCGAAGCCTCCGAAATCCAGAACCATCAGACATTGGGCGCGACATCCAGGAAGAAGCGGTCGTTTCGGGACGAGAAGGCAGCAGAGCTTCCCTAGGCCGCCTCACACTCGACGAAGCTCGTGAGAAAGGTCTGCGATTCGAAAACCCAAGTCTTGTGATGCCGTAAGTATCTGGCTCATATCACAATAATGGGTGCCGAGGCTAACTCCAAAATATAGTTTATGCCAAGTCTGGCTCCCGAAGTGGCACGCGAGAAACCAAAGACATAGACATGGCCTTCATGGCGCTAATGGCGAATGCCAATGAACAGACCGCTGTTTCCCTAGCTCAATCCTCACACTATACCTTCCCTATAATCAGAGCCTCCCTATACGCCTTCCAGGAAAAACCGCAGTAATTACTTCCTTTTTACAGTTGTTGATACCCACTTAGCAATGAACATATTTTGAATCCCCAAACACTGCACTCCGCGTCGTTAGTCCATTGTTTCTTCCACTCACCCTATTAATTATATTCAAGCCACACTTGGTCTACAATTGTTTAACGCCTTCGTTGATCCCCTCCTTGCCAAGTCACACGTGTAAGTGTGATTGCGCAAACAACTTCACCCGCCAGGTTTGTAGATAGGAAGTTGTTGGACGCAATTTGCCACATTTCGATCCACTTGCCTCCGCCGGGAGCTCTGCGACAACGTCTTCCCAGATTTATCTGTCTCGGGGGGTCGCTGGTACAAAGTCGGAGCCAGCTCTACCTCTCCTTGATCTTCAGCCTTTGCACGTCGCATCCTTCTTCGAATCTTCCGACACTCGAAGACTGTCTCTAAGTCCACGCAGGCTACCTCTAGAGCCAATGTCTCACGACTTGATGCCAATTCATGACACCTACATACCCGCAAGTTCAAGCGTACACCCCAGGAGCGAGTCGTCACCATGCCCTATCAATGATTGTGACAAAACGCAATGCCCGACGAAGCGATCGGAAGTTTTACGCCACATTTTCCCACATCCTACCAGGGGTCGCAACCTTCAACGTTCGAATATTTCGGGAAGGATTGCCAAGCGGGTAAAAAAGGAGGCTGATGCACCCAGGTCATCATCCAATCCAAACGCCTTCCACAGATACATCTCTTCTCTCTTCAATAATGGCCAGGAACGTGGAGTATACCTGCGGCATCAACAGGCAATGTCAAGTACCTCAAGTTCAGGCTCGATACTAGGCTCATCAAGTTACCATGCCGCGATGAGTGTAGACATGGTTTCACCCGCGACGTTCATGTTCAGTGGGCCCAGTCTTAGATCTGGCAAATCTTTCAGTCATTCGAATTCCCGTATCACAAGTCATACTAGAACAGATAGCGAGCCCCGGCTAGCATCCCGTGTGCGAACCGATTCTTTCTGCATGCTCGATCAGGACAGCATCATTGACGAGGAGATTATGGAGCCAGATCTCGAACATGGTATCACGCGTGTCATGTCAGATGTGATACTTGGCGTGAGTATCCCAGAAGATGAGTTGGAGATGCCTTTGTATGGCTCGAAAGAATGGGCTTGGAACTGCCATACTCCGGTTAGTGGCAGACATGAATCTTATCACACTACTAACTCAATGCAGACCTTAATCGCAATGAATTCCCAGGACATGATTGCCAAGTTACTGATGCTTTATCTGGATCTAGCGACATGGAAGTCACTTAGGTTGACGAGTCGAGCATAGTATAGCGCTCTCAATGCAGCGATGCCACCCAGGGTTTCTGTTGCTCATCGCCTACCATTAGAGATCCTACAAGATGTCTTGCAACGTCTTTGCGCAAAAGACTTCAATGCTGCACGTCATACATGTCGATATTGGATGCGCACTAGTTTAGACAAGAGCTTGCTTAAAGTCATGTTCAAGAGAGGCGGATGGCAAAGCAGTGCCGAGCACTGCCTCGCTCAGGCAGGTCGAGCCAAACCAGGTCATGTGATGGGAAGTGAGGAGTGGATTCTCAGTCGGCATCTTGCAAGGCAATGTGCACTGGCCCCTAGCTGGACTGGAAACGGTCTGGAAATCGGCTCTGCATTTTCGGAAGACACTTTGATTGATTTCCGGGAACTTTTCAATGGCCATACAACATCTGCTTCCTGTAGAGGTCGCGGCCTAACCTTCTCCATCAGTCTCTGTGGACAATTTCTCTGCGTGGCTCGCGACACTCTCATTCATATATACGACCTTCGAAGCGGCCACCTCCAGCCTGTCACCAGTGTTGTGACCCCTAGGCGAGTCCTTTCAATGAGTATGGACGTCTCTGCAGGTCGTTATGCTATCGCTACGCTTCTAGAGGGACGAATGGGCATGGTATGCGAGTTGCAATACGGTCGCAAAGCTGTCAGCGTAGACCCAATTCCAACAGAAGATGACCAGAATGATTCTTTACACAATACACCAAACAGATCTTCGGTCTCCACTGGCTGTACGGGCATCCCGAAATCCTACTCAGCGACGAACAATGCCCATAGCCGTCCATACATCAAAGAACCGGATCGCGGCTCATTCCACGCGGTCGATGTCATCTCCAACCGTCAGCATGTTACTTTGCAAAGAACAAATGACAGCCGAGCACATGAGCAGAACTTGATCAATGACTCCTGGCCTGAGTTTCATGGACCCACAAAGAGGCAACATTCTCAGGGGACCTCCAGATCCACTTCCTGCGGTCACGGCATACCTCTAGAAAGCGGCACGTCTACCTTCTACCGACACCTGTGCTCAGAAGACGATCCGCCGCGTAGTGTCTCTATATGTCCCCAACGCCGTTGCGTCGCTTTTGGTTGTTCGGCTGGCATTGAATTGCACTGGATTGATGCATTGACAGGACGGGGTTTGAACAGATGGTTTCCTCTCACAGCACCTTCAGACCACTTGTTCTTCCTTTCTCCTCGTCCTGGATTTGAATCGGCGAAGAAACTGCGACTGATTTCCAGCGCCGCACATCCCAACGATCGACCTTCTATCAGTCGCAGATTCTTCAGTCGGCCGACCGTAGGTTCGTTCTGGGGCTCTTTCGGTTTCGAATCGATGAATCGTCGGCCTGGGTCTCCTGGGTGCGACCACTATCATGCGGTTCCAATGAGTGATGGGTTTCACGTCCTGTATATTGATCCAATCACGGAACACTTGACGCTGGGGTGTGATGGGCCATTAGGTGGACCTACTAAGTTATTGCGAAAGGTCGTCTTGTTATCACCCAACGAGAAAGCTGTCCCTCGTGTCTACTCTGCAGCAGCGGATATGTCACAGGGAGCTCTGGTCACAGTGGCATTCGGCGATACGATTATGCTGTACAACATCCCACTTGATGTCATTGAATATTCCCGCGCAGAGCAGAACACAGATGGACAGGAAACGAGCAGCATATCACCGAGCATCTCTGGAGAGCGCCCGAGAGACCACTGGCTCAACTAGTGGAACGAGCCACTGGCTCCGACACGTCCGTCTGGAATTGACGATACTGACCCTGTTTGGCCACTTGCCATCCGTGGCACTGAGATTGGAAGGCTCGTGGATGTATGCGAGCTCGCCGTCCAAACCCAACCCGACATACTTCTCTGGGCTTTCACAAAAACAGCACATTGTCAGACGTGGCGCCTACGTGATTTTGTCGATCCGATTATTCGTACCAAGCAGTACATGTGCCGTAACGGAATGGTTCATCATGCTTACTCTGTCGACGAGAGCGGAGATGTTGTCATGGAGGATGCGTCCGCGTTGGAAGAAGCCAGCAGCTCACTTGAACGGCACTTGCACGGCAACAACGAGTTCGAGGTAACCACGGCGGACCAATCTATTGTTCCTGGCTTCGATGGCAACGCATCTGGAGTATTGAAGCGAATGCACAAGGCCCTGGCAGTGGAATGTGATCCCTGGGTGGACTTTTTGGATCTCAAGGGCGCTTCTGATGCTTGGTTTGAGGATGATGGCAGTATCATTGCTTGGTATGGGACATCAGAGTGAGGAAGTTGTGCTTGCAAAAGTGTCGAGGAGTAGGCGAGTGTGGATCAATGGAAGAAGATGGCCTAAATAAATCCTAGATTCTAGATCATTCTAACACTATCAATAACACCTATCAACATCGCCTCATGTTGTGTACCCAACAGATCCGATTTACCGTTTATACACAGCCGCGACCCCCCAAACGAAACATCACAAACCTACTACATACAAGCCCTCCCCCCACAACTACTAAGCGTATGCACATATCTCAGCTTCCCCCCCTCCACCCTAAACTCATGACTATCCGGCAACCCACCCCCGCCCCCTACCGTACCCCCAAAATCCATCATAACATCCACAGTCCCATAATCCTCATCAATCACATACTGCCTATTCACCAACGCCACCCCACTCGGCACCCCAACATCACACCGATCACTCGCCGCCCCCTTCCCCGTATACGCCCCGCCCTCAAGCCGCGCACACGGACTCCCCCACGGCACAACAACGCTCTTATCCGCAAACAAATCGCAATACGCATCCGCCGCCGCCTTGATGACATTGCGCGAAGTGCGCTGCGCTTGCGTCAGGGGACCCCAGTGCTCGCGCGAGGCCCAGTAGTAGGTGCCTGTTGCGTTGAAGAGCCAGTCGCCGGTTGTAGTGACGATTGCGTCGAGGCGGGCGAGTTGGCCCGTTGTGTTGTCGATGCGCATTTGGGTTGCGATGACGTAGGGGGCGGAGGCGTTGAGGACGATGAATTCGCTGAAGGTGGCGCATTGGGGGAGGTCGTGTTGGGAGCGGGCGTGGGCGATTGGGAGAGGGGTGGAGAGGATGGAGGAGGAGAGGGTTACGGGGCGGCGGTTTTGGGTGAGGTGGGTGGTTGGGGTGAGGAGGGTGGTGTTTGAGTTGAGGCCGGTGGTTTGGGCGGTGTGGAGGGCGGCGGTGAGGGAGTGGAGGTGGGAGAGAGTACAGGCGGCGGAGGTGAGGGTTGTGAAGAGGGAGAGGAGGGAGAGGAGGGTGATGGGGTGGTGGTGGATGTGCATTGTGGTGTCGGTTTCTTTTATTCTCAGGGGGGTTTAGGGGTGATGAGTGCGGTGCTGGGAATTGGCATCGGTGGGCTTTGCGTCTTTATCAAGTTTGTATTGTAGGGATATGTGTGCGGATATGGGGTGAAAGTGTACTGCCGCAATGCTGTTGAGCCATATTGCATAGGTGCTGATCCCTATTTTGCCAACGATACACTGGTTTCAGCATGGCGTTGATGTATATTTTGTAATGTTCGGTAGTTGTCGAATTGGTGGGCGAGAAGCAATATACTCATATACTCGGATACAAGCGAGAGGGGTAGGCTGCAGGGTAGTATAGTAGCATCACAGCCAAAGTTCGAACTGGCATGTTGGGAGAATATGGTAGGAAAATCCATGAACCTTAATTCTCCACTGACCTATTCGGACTTACGTTCGTAGAGGCCTTGAGCAACGCAAGAAAGAAGGAGATGCGAGCTTTGCTTTGGGGTTCTCTTTACATAACCATAAGGGTATCATTGCTGATCATGACGTTTCTTCTTAGGGATTTCTCTCTCGGGCCGGGCCGCTAAGATCTTGGAGTGTAGACTGTGGCAGTCTCACGAACGGCATGACTGCCTAGTGTACAGCTCGCTGTACACAATGTCTCGGAACTTGTGCTGGATGTCAAGTAAGCTGAGGGCTATTATGAGAGGCTGACTACACAAACCGATTCGGAGCTGTGTGGATAAGACGGGTATCAAGATCGTGATCCAAAGCTCATGCTTTTGTGGTATAGATAGTCTGCAACCCTTCCAGTGCGACTGCCTACTTGGCCGAGCTCATGTGGGCACGTGACAATGCATTTGCCGCTCTTGCTCAGAGTAGTTTTTTCCTCTCGAACCTTCTTCCTTGACGAGTCAAGAATGAAGTTGCTTCTTCACGTGGATGGTGTTGACTCGAGACATGCTGCATAGACGTAGACAGAGCTAACGCGACCTACAGAAAGTCCAGACCATCAGTTATATGCGCCTATTAGGCTCCGCGCGAGCCATTCATCCACCAACCTCGACGAGCCTGTTCGGAGTTGACCGAGATCTTGTGCACAGTGCAGAGTGTGTGGAGTGCAGTAAACGATGCAATGTCGTGTCAAAGTGATGAGCACTTTCCGAATATGAGGTCTTGTTTCAGCGGTATTAAGACAAGGGGTAACGACCTGTTCGGCTGGGTGGAGACGACGCCATCCACGATAATGACGGACATATTCTTATCCTCTAGCCAGTCAGAGCTTGCCACACGAACAGCACCGAGCACATGCGGCAGGGAGCAACAGCGGCCTATGTCGTCAGTACAAATGCTCCGGTCGGGGGTCAAAAGTCTGGACGTGACATGGAGATATCGTCGACATAAGCAGCGCCAGCTGAGGCAGGTTCCTATAGGCCGATCGAGATCGAGAAGTGTATTGCGATGCATGGAGAGAATCGGCCATTGACCGCCTCCAGACTTTGTGCAGAGGGTTACGCGTTCACCGTGGGAGAAGTGTAAGACGTTGCGAACAGAGACGTGGAGGAAGCGGACGAGGGGCTGGAGTACTGTAACTTGGTGAGGGGGGGGGGAGGGCTAGTCGCATGGTGCTGTTGTACAGCCAGTGAACGCTCGGGAGGCTGGAGGCCCCGTCCGAATTGCCCTGCACCTACGGAACAGAAAAGCAAGGCAAGCTCGATTGGTACCTATGGGAATCCATTTATTCCGGACGACGCACCCTTTGCTGCAGATACACAAACGCTACGTCTGTGAATCCCTCGAGACCATTTTGGTATAACGGACATCGGTTCCCCGATTGTACCTGGAGCATCTCAATGGGGGCCGACATGCGAAGGTAGTCGTCGGTCTAGGAATATTTATCACGGGCTACCAATCAGCAAACTACAGGCACGCAATATTTCAGAGAACGGGGCTGGTCCAGGTTTTTCCTATGCAGCCTCAAGGAGGAAAGGCGACCGCATCGCTCCGGAAGTATTGTCCGTGCTTCTCGTACGGGCGGCACTGGCCACCGGCCAGCCATAGTATTGGCCTCCCAGGACATGACCAGGCACTGCATGTTACTGCATGTAGAGGCGTGGACTGTTTGCAGTTCTTTGGCCCACGGTACCGATTGCGAACGGGCAAAGAGAAAAGCGTGCGGTGATGCATGGGAGCTGCTTTGATGACGAGGGTTTAGGGATTGTAGGTGCGCATGGCGAAAGGCCTTTGCTGTTGCTCCCTTCGCCGGACCACTCGGCTTTTGGGAATGGGAATGGGAGTGAGAGCGGCAGCCTGTAGGTGTGCACGAGCTGGCCATGTGCTCCGGCCGCAGGCGTAGTGCAAAAATCATGGCCTCGGACTTTGCAGGCTGGATGCAGAGGCGCGCATCCACTCTGCAGGCCTGTACCCCTGACTTACAGCTGCCACAGGAAGGATTCCATGAGCTGATTCGCAGCTACTCAAACTAACATGATACTGCTAAGAACATGGCTACACTAGGGCATATTATGGATCTCCACGCCCAACAGGTTCGCGCCCGCGGCAGGGGGTGGGCCGAAAAGGGTGGTGCTGGGTCAAGTTTGGTTGTTGGGGAGGACAGGGCACCGTTGTTCTTCATGTCCAAGCCAGGTGAGACCAGAAAGACAGCAGGCAGAGCGAGGGAGGGCGGGGGATGAGCGAGCGGACATGAAAAGGCGACCAAGGGTGTCGGCCGAAATCTATGTGCACGATCGTACCGTGCAGGCTGCATGGTGATCAGCAAGATTTCCCCCAAGTTGCGAAGACAGGATGGGAGAGGACGTGGGAGAGGATGACGCTTGCGTCTATGTTTAGAGCCACTATTGGAGTGGAGGCATGAGGTTCTGCAACCAGGATGGCGCCACAGGCAGCGATGTGCTTACCCACCCAGCCAGCACTGGCACTGCAACTCCCCACACCCACACGGAACAGCCGACTGGAGAAGGCTGGGTGGAGGTGGTTACTCTACTGGCGAGACAAGTGTGGTGTGTGATGAGTGGTGTGTAGTGTGTAGTGTGTAGTGTGTAGTGTGTAGTGTGTAGTGTGTAGTGTGTAGTGTGTAGTGTATAGTGTATAGTGTATATAGTATATGTATAGTGTGTAGTGTGTAGTGTGTAGTATATAGTGTGTAGTGTGTGTAGTGTGTGTGTAGTGTGTAGTATGTAGTGTGTAGTGTGTGTAGTGTGTGTGTAGTGTATAGTGTGTGTGGTGTGTGTGTAGTATGTAGTGTGTAGTGTGTAGTATGTAGTGTGTGTAGTGTGTATGTAGTGTGTAGTGTGTAGTATATAGTGTGTGTAGTGTGTGTGTAGTGTGTAGTGTGTAGTGTGTAGTGTGTGTGGTGTGTGTGTAGTGTGTAGTGTGTAGTGTGTAGTGTGTAGTGTGTAGTGTGTAGTATGTATAGTGTGTGTGTAGTGTGTAGTGTGTAGTGTGTAGTGTGTGTAGTGTGTGTGTAGTGTGTAGTGTGTAGTGTGTAGTGTGTAGTGTGTAGTGTGTAGTGTGTAGTGTGTAGTGTGTGTGGTGTGTGTGTAGTGTGTAGTGTGTAGTGTAAGTATCTACCGTGCCGTACAGTGCAGTACCTACCCGCACTGCGCGCGCAAGCATGGCAGGAGAGAAACTGTGGCTCATCAGCCGACCCCACCATCTTTTTGCCCTCTCTCTCTCTCTCTCTCTCTCATTCTCTCATTGCATGTCGAGCCGTCGGTTCACTTGGCATTGACTGGCCACGACGAGTTGTTTGCGTGAAGCTGCACTGGGTTACCATTCAGCCCCCCCCCCCAGAAAGAAGACGGTTCCTGGTCTCGGAGGCGGCGCTATCCCCCCTGCGGCGGCCTCTTTGCAATAAACGTCGTCGCCAACGCTGGCCTGCGATTTATCCACTTCTTGTTGTCTCCCTCATTTGTTGCGCGCGCTGCACTTTGGCACAACTTTTGTTGACATTCTGGCTAGTCAGCCGACAGCTGTTGTCCAAAACTTCTTTGTCGCGCTGCGGGTCTGCCACTCGCTGCAGCAGCCCACTCTACCTTACTGTACACACTGCCGGTGCTGGTAGGCCACTCTCTAATTGTCTTGGTAAGTCGCACACCCGCCCTGCACTCGCATGTTTCGGAAGTAGCAGACGAACCGGATCACCCTATGCAGCGAGTGAGCAAGACACGGCGCAGCAAAGGGCAGACACTCTGGCAGAGGCGGCGCATCACTCCCAAAGGGCCTCTCCAGTGCTGCTGCTGCTGCTGCTGCTGTTGTTGCTACTCGTTTTGTTGGGTTGAATGCAGGCCGTCTGCTTAGCGCATGCTCGCCTGATCGACGGTGCCTGATGTTGAAACGCATCAATACGAGTGAAAGCCGACCCTTCACCCTGCTACGGCTGTCTACACCTCACTCTCTATACACCACCAACACCACCACCACGACTACGACCACCACCACAACTCGACACTATTGTCGATTGTGCCTTTACTAATTGAGCGCCGCTGCAGACTGGTTCACATTCGTTTTCGTCGCGCATCGCCTGAGCAGCGTCGCCAGCCCTCGGCCTCCTCCATCGCACCATCGCCCCATCGCCCCTTCCCACCCCCCTCTTCAATCGCACACGTTTACCGGTCGCAACTTCTTTGTGCATGATCTCACCCCACCATTGGAGATAGGCCCATCAGCCATCAAAGACTTCCTTTTTTTTTTGGCGCCACAGCCACACAAAGTGCTCTTTATTATTTTTTTCTCTCTGCACCTGCAGGCATCGGACAAGACCGCCGCAAAATGGGGAAGCCAGGCTTGGGCATCTTCACCGTTCGCCGCAAGTCCCAGGGCAATGCATTCGACGAGGCCGACGTGGCAGTCAGCCCCGATGTTTCTGCTGCACCAGCCCGTGACGACTCGGGCGGCTTCCGACTGCTGAGCAGGACGGAGGTGGAAAAGGCAAACGAGCGCAGGAAAACACAGGAGAAGCCTTCGAAATTTCCACGCTTCAGTGGCTTTGGCAGCAGTGGGAACAAGGGCCGCAATCAGTCCATCGAGGACGAGTCTCCAGGATCCTCAAAGCGGTAAGCCTCGAAGAATCCTTGACTAGCCATAGCGTCGGCCCTACTGACCCTTTAATTTAGCGACAGCAAATCGAGCAGTGGAACTCAATTCTCATCGTCACGGCCTTATACGAACGGCCAGCACGGCTCAACCTCGACCCTACCCTCGTCGACCGATACGAGCTCCGACGACAACCTCTTCGCTAACGTCCACCGACCTTCTATCCCACAGCACAGCAGCTCTCCTGTCTCGTACTCGGTCAGCGGCATTCGGAAGCAATTCCCATCACTGACGTCGCTGCCACGGACCAGTTCAGGTGTCTCCTACAAGGATCAGCTGCCTGACGCCAACTCCAGAAACCGTGCCATGACCACATCGAGCTATGCCAGCACGGCAATCCCACCCAAGCTCGAGTCCAATCTGAACTTCGAGTCGTCGTCTTTTGACGATGACATGTTCAGTCACATCAACCCCAAGGCACCCTCCCCTGAAGTTCCACGAGAGTCCGCAGGCAGATCGCTGCTTTCGGAAAAGCGCACATTCCAGGCTGAACCCATCAAGATCCACCCCAAGCTTGAGGTCGAGCCTCCATTAAAAAGTTGGGACAGCCGTAACTCCGCCGACAACCTCATGTCGTCGCCGCACTCTGACAACGACTCACCGCCTCCGCCTCCGCCTCCGCACAATTACTCGTCTTACGCGCCGATCGCGTCGGAAAGCCCTACGCTGCAGTCGTCTGGCACCTTCCAGGACTCCGATGCCCACTTTGTCCGCAAATCCTTCATGGAGCGAAAAGGCTACCGTGATAGCTCGCCGGAGCAGCAGCCCAACTCGAATGCCTCCTCGTCTGCCAACTCTTACGACACCCCCTATTCATCGCGCTCGGCTACCGCCTCTAGTACGACGACCAACACCACCCCCAAAGCAACACTGGCACCAGCTGTCTCCTATGCAGATAGCGAGGATGAAGACCTCTTCACGCCTGGCAAGAAGACTGCCACTCAAAATGCACCTTCAACAGCCCGCAAGGTCTCTCCACCCACAGCGCCGCAGGATAAGCCCACAGCGGCCTCGACTGCAGCGAATGGCGGTCGGGTCATGACGCAGTCGGAATTCCGTGAATATCAGAAACGACAGCTGTCGCAACCCCCTGCAGACGAGAGCTCGGATGAAGATGACTACGAAGATGAGGAAGACGCCATCAAGAAGCGTGAAGAGGAGGAAGTGCTACGGCGTAAGAACCAGCAAATGCACTTCGCACGGGAGGCCATGCGCCGCTCCACAACAGCCCCGGGCAACCCGACACGACCGGAAAGCTCGGTTGGGAACATCAACATGGACATGGGATTTCCTTCAGAAGTCTCGATGAAGGCAGATGAATGGGAAGATGACGATGTGCCATTGGGCATTCTCGCTCAACACGGGTTCCCCAGCCAAGCACGCAACAAGCTCCCGAACCAGCCACCCAACGCAATGCCATCATACATACCCGACCGTCCTGCCTCTGCTGGTGCTATGAGCCAGCGCGGCGCTCAGTCACACATGCCTGCATTCGCAAGGGGCCTGCCTGCGGATCCATACTCTCCTTATGTCGGTGGTGGCATTGTCCGCCATATGAATCGTGAATCATTAGGATTCAATGGATTTGCACGGGATCCTGCTTCCATTGCCGGGGATTCCATGGCAGGTGGCACGGCTATACCTCCCATGCCCGCCATGCCTCCTAGTATGATGTACCAGGATGCTGGCCTATCGCAGCCCTCTCTTGTGGATCAGATTCAGTTGCGCGATATGCAGAAGCCCAAGTACATGGGTGGTGCATCCAACAAGAAGCAAGAGGGTGGGCCTTTTACCGGCATTCTTGGCCAACGTATGAACTCGAACGGTCAGACACAGGCGCCGACACGCATGTCCAACATGCCTAGCATGAACTCAGCCATGGGTGTGCCTAGCCCGCAGATGGGCGGGCAAATGGGCGGCCAGATGCCTATGATGGGCATGGGTATGGGAATGCCAATGGGAATGGGAATGGGCATGGGCATGGGCATGGGCATGAATCCTATGGGATTTTCCATGCCACAACAAAACGACTACATGCAGATGCAGCAGATGCAGCAGATGATTGCTATGCAACAGATGCAACTGCAACAAATGCAAGCTATGCAGAATCCACAACAGCTGCAGGCAATGCAAAATCAGCAGCAGCAACAGGACCCTCGCGTATCGATGGCTATGCCCAACAACAGCTTTGGCGGCAACATGATGGGCAATGGGAGTTTCTTGAGCGTTCCGGGTATGCAGAACGGTACCCTAGATCATCAAGGTCGTCCCATGTCCATCATGTCCGCCAATGGAAACCAACAACAGCCCCGAATGCACAGCTTCATGGGACCTGGCGCGGGATACACGCCTTCTATCGCACCCTCGGAGCGATCAAACGTGGGCCTGTCCGCAAGATACCGACCTGTTGTTAACCACTCGGATTCAAACTCCAACGGAACCTCGATGACTTTGCAAGCCTCGGGCGGCGCAGCGCCAGGCAAAACTGGGGCGATCAAGGGCATACTTAAGAAGGGCAGCCCTCAGCCTCAGGTATCGGTTCGGGAAACCGACGAGGTGGATGAGGATTGGGGCAAACTGGCAGCCCGCAAGAACAAGTCTGCGGGCAAAGGCAAGGAGAACAGCACCAACGGGCTCGAGGAGCTTACACGCGGTCTAAACATTTGAGGCATCTGAGCGACATATTCGACGCATACACCCTTAATTCTATCGCATTTGCACATTGCATTTCTCGCACACGGACGCATTTTCAGGTTTACGCAGCAAAGAATGATTGATACAGAGGACACGAAAAAAAAACACCCCCAACCCATCTCGGGCTTTCTGTTAGAGAGATGGTAAAGAGAGATTGGAGCGATTTCCGAAACGGTGGCTTTGTGCGCCTACTACACCATTTTCGCCGTCATTGCATTTACACCTGGCGTTGTTTATTTGTTTCGTCTGGATCCCTTTTTACCACCGCCACTGTGTGCCCTATCCCTCTCTCGACGTTGTTGGATGGCTGTTGGGAAAGGCTGTTGATTGTTAACCTTTTTTTTTCGTCGTTTTGAAAAACCTAGTATACAATAGTTTTGGCGCGACTACCCCCTGGATCTTGTCGAGTTTGCAAAGTATAAGTAATCTACGGTATTTTAATGGGGCAAGGAAGAGATGAGGAGGGGGAGAAATCTATTGCTGCAAAGAGAACTAGCTGTGTTGTGCATATCCTACATGTTTTATTTTTAGCGCCAAATTGGTACATGGATTGGGGCCTTTGTGGTGTGTGTACGCGGGAGGGGGTGGGGCAAGTCAATCAGTCGATGGTGGAGAAAGGGGCAGGGGCAGGGACGGGGGCTTCATCAGGGAGTTGAGAGAGGGTTGTGTGGGCTTTTGGGTTGATATTTTGTTGGGTGATCTAGTGGTGGTCGTGCGTAGTGCACAGTCTAAGTAGGGGGGAACGGCGTCTTGTTCTTACAGTGGGAAATCAAGAGAGATTTGGTTTAGACCGGTTGGAGCAAGATGTTGGTTCTTTTTGTAATCATAATACTATACTATACTCTGTGGACTTGTTGGCTTTGTTTCTTTGCTGTCTGGTTGGGTTTGT